TCCTTTAATGGCTCGGTTTTACTCTCCTTGCTACTGCTCCTGTTCGAATGCACACTGGAATCTGTTTGATGCTTTGGACAGTGGTTTTGGGGTTTTGAGTTTGCTTTATGTTATTCTCCTATTAGAATATATGTTGGAGCCTGGTTTTGGGTGCTTTAAGAAGATGGTTTGGTGGTTTCCTTTGTGAATATGCTGAAGTAAATTTTAAACCTTAAAACCTTAAGGAGTGCAAGGGTTCTTCTTGTTTCCTAGCCCATCAATAGATAAACATGATAAAGTGGACATAATGTATTGATGAAAATTTGGTTGATAGCAAAGTTCATTGGAAAACTTTTGCATTGCAGTTTACATGTTTTTATCTTCTATCTGCAAAAGCTAATTGTCTCGTATTTTACATTCATACCACCCACTTCATGCATATTTACATATCTAACACCCATATCTAACACCCAAATTTCGTGCTATCTTACCCATGCATGCAATTGTGTTATATCTTTTGGACTATAAAAAATTTTTGGATGGTATATATGTAAGTGTTACATATGTAATATTTTCTTTTATTAAAATAAAATGTTTTTAAAATATTTTTTGGGCTCTTATTAATAGTTAACAAAATAGTTCTGGTTGTGCAAACAAATGGGAGTAGGGTTTTACGCATGCAAGCATTCTTAAAATCTTCCATATGCTTACCTTGTAAATCTTTTAGCTGAAATACTTACTGATTTTTTTTTAACGTATCAAGAAGCATTAATTTGTCGTTTATACACTCTCCATATCAGAAAAAGATTTCTGAGACTATCAAAATTTGAAACATCTTCGATATTTGAATCTTACTATAAATTCTACTCAAATGTCAAGATCATTAAGTAGTCGATATCATTTGCGGTCCATAATCTATTAAAATGTCGCTGGAAGGACCTTGCTTTGATGATTTCTTTACCAGTAATATGAATTTCTAAATTGAGTCACTTGGAATTATCTTGAAGGCATTTCCAAGTGCACCTGGAATTGGAAAGTTATGATAAAGAAAATATATGTCTCGAGACTATTTTAATCAGTTAATGGATATACTTTCATTTATAAAAGGAAAGAGAATTTTTTTATGGTTGATAGTTCAGCTTTAAATTGCATTAAAGAGGGGGGGAGGGGACATTTAATATGTCATATTTGGATTGACATTTATGTTATGATAAATATGTCGCAGAAAGTTATGATAAATATGACATACAAACATGCTAGGATGTCTCGAACGGTCTATCCTATAGGTATGTTATTAGGGAAGTAATTCAACAATAATATTTGTTGTGTACTATTTATATGTCATATTTATATGACATGTCATCTTTGAAATGTTGATATTTTAAATATGAACATTTCAACACCTTTAACTTCCCTAAATGTCAATCCAAATATGTCCTGCAATATAAAAAATATGTCCTGCAATATAAAAAAAACGAGAAGACCAAGTTCATATCTTTAACTGATAAAGATATGAAACATTAATCAGCTTTTCTGATAAGTCTAGATACTACACAGCAAATACCACGATACACAATAGACATTGCACAATAGATACTACACATCACACCTTACACGACAGATACTACATTTGTAACACATCACATATCACACACTAGATACTAAAAGTCATATACAGATACTACACTTGCAAAAAGTTCGGATACTACATAACACTTATTTAAAATATCACATATAGATGTCCCACACCCTGATGAGTTTAGATACTATTTAATTCACATCCATCAAAGGATAGGATTTAGGATTGTCCGATTATAGGGGTGATTTGTTGGTGACCACTAGTTGATATTGATAGGTTGATTTCAATATATCAGTGGCCCGGAGGATCGAGAAATAAAAAAGGGAGGTCTAGTCTGAGCTTAATCCCAAATTAAAAGTTGATATCCCACCTTAAATTTTCATATCCTTATCATTTAACCTTTATTTTATAATCTGCAAATGTTTATCTAACCCCTTTATATCATACAATTGTAATATGTTTTGTAGCATCCCCAGAATTAATCAGCTACATTAAGTTGTTTCGGTTTTGTTTCTTTACAGTGTATTTCTTTCTTTACAGCATAGTCTTTCTTAGTGTATTTCTTTCTTTACAACATAGTCTTTCTTTTCTTTATATTGCTTTTCTTTCATAGTTTTCCTTCAGTCTTTTCCTGTTACATTACTTTACTACATAGTTATTCCTTTCCTTTACTGCAATGTACTATAGACATTCATCTATACTCATACTTTTAAATATTATTTTCCTAGCATGTTTGTATAACAATTTAGGATAGGCCGTTTGAGGCATGATTTTCTCTTTTCTTTCTCCCCTCTTCTTGAGACGAGACGACGAAGCTATCAAATGACGTTTCATTCCTGGGCAGCAATCGAGACAACGACGCGGTCAATTGACTATTCATCTACGGAGAGTGGTCAACACTACAACAGAAGGTGGAGAGAGGAGCTTTAGTTAAACTTTCATAGATTTAAAGAACATACCTATAGGACGCTGAGGTCGTTCGTCTTACACGACGTAAATGCTCATACACTATCTTTTACGACTTCATACAATTATATATCATACGATATAAGTCCTAAACTTTTTAAGATTTCAAGGTCTTTGTTCGGAACGACATAAATCCTCACATTTTCTAGGGCTATTTGCATATGAAATGCAGACACAAGTCCTGAATATCTAAATAATTTACAGGACTGAAATATCACATAATTTCTTTTTCAAAGATGTAAAGTCAAACAATAGGTTAGTTTGAGATGTCACTGAATCTTATTCGGTATCTTTGACATCTCCTACTATTCGCATTCGCTCCTTTGGATTCCGGAAATAACTGTTCCTATTTGCGAAAATAACTGTTCCTATTTGAGCCTATCCCATTTGACTTTTCCTATAAGCAATTGTGAAAAATTAAACGTTGAATTCTTGAAGACGAAAATCTGATCTTAATCAAGAGTCTTCTTAGGTGACTTCGGTTATCTAAGATGTAATTAATTATAGGGGTTTGCGTTTATAGGGAATTAAGAACCCAGATTAACTCAGATTAATTTAAATCCTCTATAATCTGTGTATTAGATAGGAGAATTTGTTGGTTCTAAATTTCACAGACCAAAATAGAGTCATGACCTTTTCAGTTTAGATAATTAAACCTACGAATAAGTGATACATTCATCCTTCGAGATGATATATCATTTATGGTATCGTGCTCAGCTATTTAAACTATAAAATATACGAGGTCTATCCGTTCTCATCATTTTCCATATATATATATATATATACCATTTTCCATATACATATATATATATATATATATATACCATTTTCCCAAAAATAAAAATTACATTATATGTTATATTAAATTTAAATTTTAAAATCTTATTTAAAAAAAATAGCCGACAATACTATACCAGCGTGTATACTAAATTTTAAAAAATCGTAAGAGTACACCATTCATCAACTATAGGAACATAATTATTAACCTCAAAATAGTTATATAAAAATTATCTAGAATCATAGCTAAAAATTATTTCTTAGATCAAATAATTTATTATAACTTTAGATAGTGAACCTACAACGCATGTATGTATGTATGTATGTATGTGTGTATATATATATATATAAGAAAAAACCCAAGGATTAATATATTAAAGAGGAAAATATATAGATAAGTTGAATAAGAGGGCCTAAAAGAAGACTCAACTCACACAATACAAGACACACAACTCAAAGTAAAACAAAGATACAAAAGGATAAAAAACCAAAAAACCACCAACAGGCACAAAAGTATTCAGGACGTCCCACATTAGTCCTCCCTTTGCCTCTAGTTCTCAGAAAGGACCAGGCTAACAGATTGGTAAGGTCTGTACCTAAGCTCAAGTAATTCATCAGATTCCTAAGCTCTGGCTCGTTCATCAGATTCCTAAGCTCAAGTAATTCTCCATTCTTCTTCCTCTTGGATGTGTAAGCTTGTCATTCCTCATTCGAAGACTCAACTCACCTGATCAAGGATTGTTCCAAAGGTGGTCGGACATGTGTATGTCGTTGCACATCATGATCCCCATAAGTCTGAGTAACATTAACATTTTGCTCGACCGAATGAGGCGGTAGTGGAGCAATAGAAGGCTATGTATGTAAGTATGTTTATAAATGTTTTATGCGCGATGGATGTTTCGGGAGCTCTGCTAGGGTTTGGTTTTCCTGGAGCTCTGGAGGCGATTTTCGGATGCTGACGGTGTTTCTTCTGTCTCGTTTATCGGATGTTGGTGAGATCATTCCTTTTGTTTTCTTACTCTGGCTCCTTCGTGCTCGTTTCTTGCTCCTCGGTTTTTTAGTTCTAGCCGTCTATGGCAAAAACTTATGTCAGAGTCAATGTCGGAGGCTCCTCCTCCGGTGATGCTCCTACGTTTGTGTTTCCTTCTTCTTTTCATGAATCTCTGGTTCTTGGAGAGGAGTACAATTTCATTAAGAAGCAGGGAAAGAAGGGGGTAAGTTAACACTCTTCCTTTCTGATTCCAAGAACATTATTTTGGCTTTTGCATCTCGTTTTCATCAGGTGGGAAAATTTCTCTATGTACTGCCGAAATTCAATTTTGAATTTGGCTGGGGCTTGGAAGATTGGAGCTCTCGATAGTAGACATTCTGATTCATCTCTCTAATGAGGATGACTATGCTAAACTCTTTTCACGTAAAACTGTTCGACCGTCGGGCTGAGCTTCCTATTATTCTAGTTTGGCTTTTCGAATTATTCCGGTTTGGCTTCGTCTTCCTGGGTTGAAAGTGCACCTGTTTAACCACGAGATATTATTCTCTCTAGCTGCTATGTTTGGCAAACTGCTATGTTAGATGCTCCGACTTTTAACTTAACAGAACCCTTCATGGCTAAAATTTTAATTGAAAGAGATGTCACTTTACCACCCTCAGAAGAGGTTTGGATAGGTTCTACACATACTGTGTACCGACAACAGGTTTTTCTTGAGAAGCATCCTCACTACTGCTGCCATTGCCGCATGTTTGGACACGACTCGGTGCAATGCTTTCACCTACACCCTCAGTTAAGGAAAAGCAGTGCGGGTCATTTGACCTCTGCTGAGAATAAGACTATCCAGAGATCACATCCAGAGATGGAACAAAATGCCCCTTATATGGAAGAGAATATTGATGTGCAACATGGTGCCGAAGAGCATGATGATCTACCAATTATTGAGAGTATTGAAGCCTGAGTGGATCTAGTTTCTGATACACACCACATCATCTCAAAATTTGCCATCTTCAATCACTGGTTCCGATTTAATGGTTGAGCATGTCATTGAATTACCTATAGCGAATACTTCCTCTGCGTAATTACCCACAGAGGAAACTCCCCAAACATTTTCATTCCAGCTGCACCCTACAATGCACTCCTACTCGTACACACTCCCTATCTATTGACTCTGCTGGTGCTCAGCCTTTGGACCCTGTTGCTGATGCTACTTTGGCATTGGATTCTGAATGGAGCATCCAAAAATACAATACGAAGAGAGGCCGAATGAAATCTGAAATTTCTAATTTAAAAACCTCAAACATAATTGATGTCACATATTATTCTAAAGGAGAGCACTTGCACCTTCCCTGTAGGATCACTAGGATGGGCCGACATGCTTAACATATTCGTGTGGAACATTAGGGGAGTAGCGGACCCCCACTCCCTTAATCATTTAAATTATTAATGTAAGGTTCATAAGCCTAACATTTTTGTGATTTTGGAGCCCCTGGTATCTGTCCATAAAAATAGGATTATAAAAAAATTCAAAAAATATCTGCATTCTAGCAATAAGAACAACAAAATCTAACTTTTTGGAAGAAAGATGTTCAATTAAACATTATTGAGGATGAGTTGCAATATGTTCTTGTTCATTATACATTGGAGGAGTTCCATGGTTGGGCTACCTTTGTTTATGGCAGCTCTTTGCAGCTCTTTATGACAAGATAAACTTCTTCTTTGGCAACAACTTATCCATAGGTGATCTGAACATGGTCATGTCCCCTTGGAGAAAAGAGGAGCAAAAGCTGATACTAATTTAATAATCGTTGCAGTGAGCATTACACTTGGAGGAGAGGTTTGCTTATGCAGAGGCTTGACAGATTTCTGGGAAATTCCATTTTTCTTGATTATTATAATATCATTCATGTCAAGCATCTTAATCATGTTGCTTCCGACCATAATCTCATTTTGCTTAGCTTTTCATTCTAAATCTGCTCACTCTCATTTTAGATTTTTCAATGTTTGGACCTCTCATCCTACCTTTTTGGATCTGGTTAAACAGGCTTGGAATACTGGGTTGTTTGGCAACCCATGGTTCATTTTGTGGCAGCTGCATAAAAAATTGACTTCCCATTTGAGGAAGTGGAATTTTGATGTGTTTGGCAATGTCCACTCCAAAATTTTGCAAGCTCAACAATAGTGGATTTACTGGAATCCCAGGTTATCTACACAGCTTCTCTTGTTGAAAATTTGGCTTAGGCTCACCATAAACTCCACGAGGAAATCCCTATTGAGGAAGATTTCTTAAGGCAAAAAGCCTGTGATATGCATTTTATCAATGGTGATCGAAATACTAAATATTTCCATGCTACCATCAAACATAGAAGGAATATAAATTCTATTATTAAGATTGTCACAACTAAGGGTGTTGTCCTTACTGATATAGAACAAATTGGCTCCAACGTTGCGGATTACTTTACTTCTCTTTATGATGATGTTGTGCAGGTTAATGCAATTGATCTGGATCTGTTTGCTGCGGATAGAGAGCTGGTATCATCCCTCTCTTTATCTGACCCTCCTACTGAACTGGAAATTCTCTCTGCTCTCAAAGATATCCACTCCCACAAGACTCCTAGTCCTGATGGTTTTACTTCTGCTTTCTATATTTCTTGCTAGAACATTATAAAAATGAGGTAACTCTAGCCATTCCAAGTTTTTTTCATGGATACAATCCTGGTAAGTATTTCACTGCTGTCATGATTGTGTTTATTCTAAAATCCACTGAGAAATTGCAATGGAAGAATTTTAGAAATATCTCCCTAACTTCTGTGGTTTCTAAGATCATAAGTATACTGATTATGGCCCGTCTACAGCGTCACCTTCCCTCCCTTATTCCCCCCATCAATCGGCTTTTGTTAAGGGTCGTGATATCTCTGATAATATTTTGTTAGCTCAAAAAATTATTGAAGATCTGGACAAGAAATGTAGGGGTGGAAATTTGGTTATCAAACTAGATATAAAAAAGAACTTTGATACAATAAGCTGAGATTTTATAATCAATGTCTTAGTAACTAGAGGTTTCAGTGCTAGTTTTTGAATACTGATTAAAAGATAATTGTTCAATAACCATTACAGTGTGCTTGTTAATGGTAATTCAGATGATTTTTTCTCAGCTAAAAGGGGTATTATGTAGGGGGGCCCTCTCTCCCATACCATTTTCATCATTGTTTTATACTACTTATTTAGATTACTTAATCGTTTTCAACTGTTTCACCCTTACACACAATTCTCTCATAAGACTAACACTACGATCTCCCACTTGGCTTATGTTGATGATGTTATTATTTTTGCTAATGCATCAAAACTTGTTATTAAAAAATTAATGAGGCTCTTAAATGATTTCCAGAATTGTTCTGATTTGGCTTTTAACAGTGACAAATGTCAGCTTTATTACGGTAAGCATGTCAAACACTATATTGCTAATTGGGGGGTTGCCTTCACTGGTTATCAGCACACCTCCATCCCTTTAAAGTATCTCGGGGTAAATCTGATTAGGGGAAGGAAAAAAACATATTCAAATGGATGATGTCATTGACAAAATTAAGCATAAGATTAATGACTGGAGGAATGACTTTCTCTCTACTAGAGGTAGGTTTACTTCACTTTCTAGTGTGCAACAAAGTATTCCACTCTATGTTTTACAGGTGTTCAACCCAAAGAAGAGTGCCATTAAAGTTTTGGATAGGCTCTTTAATAAATTCCTGTGGGTTGGGAAAAGAGCTAAGAAAATTTGGGTCTCGTGGCAAAAGATTTGTAAACCAAAAAAATTTGGGGGTTTCGGTTTCAAAGTTGAGGTTCATATGTGCAAACTTTGGTTTAAGTTTAGAGAGGTCTCTTCTCTATGGGCTTCTTTTATGCATCAAAAATACTGTGCTACTTCCCACCCTTCCCAGATATTGTGGAAGGTGGGAGACTCAAAGATCTAGAAGTCTATTTTGAACTGTGCTACTTCCCACTACTAGCAACTTATGTTTTGGGATATTGGTGAGGGAAACATCTCTTTCTGGAATGATAATTGGAGATTGTCTTCACTTTCAGAGCACAGTCATCCATCTCATACAAACACTTCGATCGTTTTTGATCTCTTTACACAAGCAGGTTGGGATTTTACTAAGCTTTGTTTTCTGCTAAGGGAGTTGAATGCTTCGCATATATCTAATATTCCTACTACTCCTTCCCGCAGAGATTATCCTATTTGGAAGAAGTCTTCTTCACAGTCAGTCTGTAAATTAATATATGGTACTTTACATTCTCATCCGAATTGGTTTTGGGGTAATTAGATTTGGCATAAACTCTTTTGTCCCTCTATCTTTTTCTTCCTTTCGCGTTATTTCTCTTACTTCCTTCCTCTTGATGACATTCTGAAACTGAAAAGTTTAAGATTGACATCAAGATGTCCACTCTGCAGAAATTCAGAGAAAGGCATAAGATACATTTTTTTAATGTTTTTTTCTATAAAGGACTGGAATCATTTGGGTCTACATTTTGGTATCTCCTGGTCAC